CCCCCCCGCCCTTGTGTCAGTAATGGAATGGTGTGCACACCAGGGACACCAAAGAGAAAACAGGGCAGCGTGTCCACTGAGCAAAGCAAGCTGTGCGCCACCCTCCAGTGCAGCTCCCTGTTCCTTCTCTCTGGGAGGGAGCATCAATCGCTGCTCCCAGGATGCGGGGCGAGAGGTTTGCGCCCAGCAGAAACAAAAGGTGCTCCACGACCTTGACTCCATCCTCAGCTGTGGGAGGGCGGGCGGCACACAGGCCCTGGGAGTTCCTCAGGGAGGAGCGGCACTTTTTTTTTCCCCAGTCATTTTATTGAGGGCTCGTACAACTCTTATCACAATCCATATATACATCTGTCAAGCACATTTATTTGTACATTTGTTGCCATCATCATTCTCAAAACATGTGCTTTCTACTTGAGCCTTTGGTATCAGCTCATTTTTTCCCCTCCCTCCCCACTCCCTCATGAACCCTTGATAATTTATAAATTATTTTTTTGTCATATCTTACAATGTCCGACATCTCCCTTCACCCACTTTTCTGTTATCCATCCCTCAGGGAGGAGGTCTGAGGTAGTTTATTGTGCCAACTTGGTCGATAAACACACGTGGGGTTAACTGAAAGGTAGAGGGATAAATGGCTCGGTGAGACTCGCCTTTCGAGTTCTCTGGTCTCTTGCTTTTTGATGGTTGGACCAGGGTGAAGCTGCCTTACTTAGCCAGTTCCCTGCTCTCGCTGGTAAGGCTCACTTCCTGCAAGACATTCCTGAGGAGAAGCCTACCTGGATGCAGCCCTTGGTGCTGGAGCACCCATGTGGAGACCCCTGCCATAGCTGAGATGCTTACACATTCACTGACTAGGGTTTCCTCCTGCAGTCAGCATCACTGCATCTGTTTTGTGAGATGAAGGACATTGTGGATTGGTGTGGGACATATGGGTTATTTGTTGGACTTGTGGGCTTGGGCAGCACTGGGTTGGGATGTTTTCTTGATGCGCACTTAATCTTTACATAAAACTCTCTCTTATACATTTGTTTCTGTGGATTTGTTTCTCTATAAAGTACCCAGATTAACACAAGGTTATATATACATCCTTGTAATCGGTTCCCCCTTGTCACCCCACCCTCCCGGTATCACCACTCTCACCACTGGTCCTAAAGAGATCATCTGCCCTGGATTCCCTGTGTTTCCAGTTCCTATCTGTACCAGTGTACATCCTCTGGTCTAGCCAGATTTGTAAGGTAGAACTGGGATCAGGATGGACGGGGAGCAAGCACTTAGGTACTAGAGGAAAGTTGTATGTTTCATCATTGCTACCCTGCACCCTGACTGGCTCATCTCCTCCCAGCGACCCTTCTGCTGTAGGGGGTGTCCAACTGAGAGGCACATTTTTACCTGAGAAGTCAAGATAATGCCTGGGCAAAAGCTTATTCTTCAAACGCACAAAAACCCTTTCCCCAGGTCACAGCTTTCACGGGGCCCACTTGTGGATAGCTCAGTAACTGGGATGCTGTCTTTCACCTGCGATCCAAGTCCTCTGGCCTTCTCGTGAGTCCACTTTTCCACATGGCCTCTCAGCCCCATCACTCACTTCCATCTCCCTAAGATGTGTTTTTAACCTTGAATCAAAACTATCCCCTAAAGTCAACTCTTAGCTAAATAACAGGCTGGGTAATGGGACCAGGAATGTGTCATCTCTGCGAACTATGACCCTTTCCAGAAATCACTTATAGGGAGAGGTCTGAGGGGCCGGCCCCAATCCCAACTAGTACGTGGACACCTGCCCCTCCCCCCAGAAGAATTTATTTCAAAGGACAGCACTGAATCTCCAGCTCTGGGAGAGGGACATATCTGATCGGAGCACACGGGAGCAGATGAAGGGGGAGGAGGAGAGAGTGGAGCACATCCTGACCCACCAGGCCTTAAGGACGATGTTCCCGATTAGAGCAGCCAGTCCACAGAGAAGGACCACTAGGCCGGCCCCACATGACGTCTCTCACTGACCCATAGACCTACAGGGGACAACACTGGAGACACAGTGTGGGAATTGTTGCCCAATCTGATCCCGCCACACCGAGGCAAAACACTAAGGGGGTGCAACAGAACAGCAAGGGAACGGAGTGGCGAGTGCCCCAGGGAATGCTGAAGGTGGACTTTGGACATGGTGCTCCAACAGACTATTGGAAAACACTCCTAAAGGCCAAGCAACAGTTCTTAAACTAACTACAAGCTTTTCTTTCTTGTTGTGTTTTGTTGTATATTGTTGCTTGGTTTTGCCCTGTCTTATTTTTGTGCATGTTACTATCTCCGCAGGTCTGTCTAAATAAGATAGGCTGGATGAACAATCTGGAGGAGAAAACAA